AAGAGCGTCTAAAGTCAATTTTGATTTTAAAATGCTAGTGGTTAGGCCACTTTGAGATGACACGCGGTCATTCACGTGATCTCACCTGGTAGCTGCATTTGTTCGTTTCAGGATAGAAGACACCTTCCTGCAGAGCCACAAGGTCACGGGCGCACGTGGCAGAAGAGCTGCCACGTACCGTTACAAGTCAGAAACCCACTTGTAAACGAAGCCCAGGAGTTACCCAGCCCTTTCTATCATCTAACAGTATATGAACATCTATTTTCAGGGTAGTTATGAAATCTGCATGGTAAAAAGTGACTTATTTTGAGCACCAGAAGAGTGGTTAATGCTGACATCCAGCCCCAGTGGGGAAGTAAAGGGTCTTGTCTTTTATTCTTAAGGCTAACTTTCAATGGGACTTGTGCTTCACCTGTGGAGGGCTGCCCTCTCAGGGTACAGAGCTGAATTCACTGACTCATCATGAGTAGGTGTATGATATCATGCTCTCTGCTTATCGCTATTTCTGTCAGCCCTTGCAGCACTAGGTCTGGCTCTATGCCACTAACGAGGCCTAACGAGAACCTGGCATAAGTCCTTTGAAGTCTCTGAACACAGAAATTACTAAAAAAACCCCCAAAACTTCTCAGTGGTTAATTACACATGGAAGAAGGACCAGGTTTAGCCAGATCTTTTAAGCTTTGGAGCTTATTCTTTAGGCACAGACTCCAGAAAGAAGTTTCTTATTTATTGGACAAACAAGATATTTCTAGAATTCATTGCTTGTGGAATTTGGCATGTCAGGCTGATTTTGTGTTGGATCTTGTTCTGCCCTTTGTTCTAGCTAAATATGAACTCCTCACCTAAACAGCCTGTTTTGAATCAGCAGAGGGTTAATGTGGAGACTCCTTCCACCTATCTTACGGTGGAAAGTTCTAGGAGGTAAAAAAAAAAAAAGTTTCAATAAGAGGAGCTTTAGCATCGTTGTTTTCACGTCTCTGCTTGCATGACTGTCATTGACACTCTCTTCTCAGATACTGGAGGACAGAACTATAAAAGGATGTGTAAGTGTGGAGCCCTACATCCTTGGGGAGTTTGTGAAGCTGTCCAATAACACGAAGGTAGTAAAAAATGAGTACAAAGCCACAGAGTACGGTCTGGCCTACGGCCATTTCTCCTATGAGTTCTCCAACGGCACAGACGTTGTTGTTGATCTGCAAGGTTTGTATTGCTGGGAACTTCCATTTCTCGTGTGCCCAGTCACGTTGCAGAATATGCTACAGAAAGGATGTCCTGTCTCTAAATGAGACTAACACAGGTCTGCAAGGGTGTTTCTTTTGGAACCATCTGAAGGAGAACCATTAAAAGAGGCCACGGGTTGTGTGATGCTTCTTCCTTCCTCAAATTGCCAAGCCTAAGAAAAGGTCCCCTATTGGGCTATGGAGAAACGAGCTCTTTCGTCAAGAGCCAAGGATAAAAGCTTTCAGACTCAATCTTTAGCACGCGGGTATCTTAGGGATATTAACTTCATGAAATATTCATTATGTAACCCTTAGAGATTTGCTTTTGCTGACTTAGGTGCAAACTGGGAATCACCAAAGAGCGTGGGCTGTGCCAAGCAGAGTCGTGGGTATGATTATACAACGATTCCCTGCTCGATGCCAAGATGTCTCCTTCCTTCCGCAGGTTGGGTGACAGGTAACGGGAAAGGCCTCATCTACCTCACGGACCCCCAGATTCATTCTCTTAACAGCAAAGATGTTTCACGCTCCAACTTTGGGAAGAAGGGAATCGATTACTTCTTTCATAATCAGCACGTGGAGTGCAACGAAATCTGTCGCCGCCTTTCTTTAACAAGACCCTCAGCAGATCTCCCAATGTAGGCTCATGCCAGACAGTCACACAAAGAACAGCCCGTCAGCTGGACACTATTTTATCCTACACACCTTTAGGAGAACGTTGGCTTTGTGAGAAGGGAGCCACGAGACGATGCCCACGTGAGTCGAGTCAGTCGTTACCCTCAAGAGTTTGGCGCGTTCTGGTCTTCGCATCCAGGCCGGTAATGCCAGGTCACCGTCCCGTGTGTCACCTGAACCTCATGTTGTTGTAGCCATCTGTAAGAATTAACAAAAGAACGTAAGAAAAGTAAGAGAACATCCTCCCAAATCCAGCTCAAGGTGTCCTATAGGACTGTATAAGCTTCTAATCCATTCAGACCCAGTAAGGGCAATCAGCACCATCTGCTTTTGGGAAATGGAATACGAAATAGAGCGAGACGGAAGCAGAAAGTTGTATTTCCACTGTCTGTAAAACTTTAAGAAACCTGTATAAGTGTTTCAGGGAATAACTGGTAATGTTTTGATTTGCTTAAAAAAATAATAATTTCTTTCGGAGGTGTGTGTGAGTATGTGAGCCTTGCAATTTGCTGCCAGTAGAAAGAACAACGCACCCGATGGGTTGTGACTCTGCTGCTGGAATCGCAGCCTGCACGGCTTCCAACCTGCTGCTTTTCTGAAACATCCCAGAAAATACATTTCTGAAAGTCAAGACAGATGTCCAGTAATATTTAAGCAGTATATTTACACGCTGCCTCTACCCACGGCCCACACCGAGACTCCGATCCTCCTGCCCCACTCCACTCCCGCAGCCAAAGACTCAATTTGTACCTACACGATGTGGGGAGGAGGTTCTTGACAACTCCACCTGCCCTGGGAACACGCTTTACTGTCACCCATGCAAACAGCTGCCACTCAGTCCTTTAACTCCAACCTTT